GAAGGCAGCCGCTCCCGCCGGCTCCAGCCTGTCAGCCAGGCTGCCTGGCTGGCCCTGCCAGGCTGCCGGAGCACTCTGAGCCCCGATGCACACAGTGCCAGGAATGAGTTTGCTGAGCCGCTCGGGCTCCGGGCAGGGAACATGCTGAGGCACATCACGAACGATTAGCAAAATTGAGTCCCACACCAATAGACACGCTGCACTGGGAACCAGGATGCTGTGGCACACATTGCCCCAGCACCGGCTCAAAACCTTGTTTCTTGAAGATTTCATTCATTTACCATGGGAATAAATCAGAAAAAAAGCATCTCCTGTTTTATTATGGAGTGTGATTTTTGCCCAAAGAAAGGAGTGATATTGCCAACCACTCTGCAGCAAATTAAACACAGCTGGATGCAGGTAATGTCATCCTGGCTCCAGCAGTAACACTGCAATTTTATTTTTTGGGGATGAAAAGCAGGTTCCAAGCAGCTGCTTCTGGAAAAACTCTGCCTAAGACCAAGGTTGGCCTCAAAGGCCAGTCCTCACAGCCACTCATCTTGCACCGTGAGATGAACGGTGCCCTGAACTCATCCGCACAAGCACTCCTGCGTTGGTAGGACAAAGGCAGGGCAGGAGGCACCGCACCAAGGCTGCAATGGCTCCGCCGAGCCAGGGGTTGGCCAGCCCTGACACACACTGACGGAAAGGCGTTACAAACCTGTAGTAATAGAAAAGAAATCTGCTGGTGGACTTCTTTCTCCTGTTTTTTTAATTAGGGAGGACATCGCAATGAAAATGGGATTTTTATCAATTCCTCATTCCCCAAAGGCAGCTATAATCCCCTCCAACCGTGTTTAGCAGTTGCAGAGCTCATTTTAGAATCGTAGAATCATAGAATTGTCAAGGTTGGAAAAGACCCTTAAGATCATCGAGTCCAACTGTTAACCTAACACTGCCAAGTCCATCTATACCATGTCCTTGAGCACCACATCTCTCCGTTCTTTAAATACCTCCAGGGATGGAGACTCGACCACTTCCCCGGGCAGCCTGTTCCAATGCTTGACCACCCTTTTGGTGAAGAAGTTTTTCCTAATGTCCAACCTAAACCTCCCCTGGCGCAGCTTGAGGCCGTTCCCTCTCATCCTATCACTCGTTACTGGGGAGAAGAGACCGACCCCCACCTCGCTACAGCCTCCTTTCAGGCAGTTGTAGAGAGCCATAAGGTCTCCCCTCAGCCTCCTCTTCTCCAGGCTGAACAACCCCAGCTCCCTCAGCCGCTCCTCCTAAGACTTGTGCTCCAGACCCTTCACCAACTGCGTTGCCCTCCTCTGGCCACGCTCCAGCACCTCGATGTCCTTCTTGTAGTGAGGGGCCCAACACTGAACACAGTACTCGAGGTGCGGCACCAAACAAAGCACTGGAGGCAGCGAGGATGCACTCAGGGGCTGGAGTTGAAGACCACTCCATGCAAGCCAGGCGGGACGGGGAGCCCCTGCCAGCGGTGATGTGCTGTGCGGGGGCCTGATCCAGGCCTCTCCCTGCGGCGGGCAGAGGGCTCTCGCTCGGCACTGACCGAGGACACGCGTCCCCAGCCGTGGGCCCTGGCCAAAGACACGCTCACCCCCCGAGTCACCTTCCCGCCGCACCTCCCATCCAAGCTCTCGGCAGTCTCGCGGATGCACGGAGCAGCCCCAGCCCTGGCCCCACGCTGCTTGCGGCCGGGCAGCAGCACCACTTGCTCTTAATAAAATAATAATAATAAAAAAGATTAATACCCAGGAAGAGAAGAAGCAACAGAATAACACGCTGTGTTTTGTTTGGCTTATTTGTTTTGCAACATTGGAGATTGACACTCATGAGTCTGCTCCTATAATTGCTTCTGCTGATGAATCTGGATTGTTTAATTAGAGTCTGCGCATGGAGCTCATCGCTAATGGGTAATCACCAATTTGCTGCCAAAGATATAACTTCTTCCCCAAGAAACTTGTCTATCTCTGAGCACAGCTAGTCCTCCCCATGGTGGGAACCATTGCTCTTTCAGAAGGGTTTGCTGGTCCCGTATGCAACTCCTTAGTGCCAAGAGCAGCAAAGGACCAACCTCTTGCTTATCAGCTCCCTTAAAAGCAGAATAATCTATCACTAATTTAAAGTCAAGGCTAACCACTGTTCTTGGCAGCAGGTACTGCCCAAAATACTTGGCTCATGAGACACCATGCACACATGCACCGCACAAACACCCCAAATTGCAAGGGGTTTTTGCTCTCTGGAGAACGCGGTTGGCTTTTCCCCGCTGGAAGAGCGATGATCCCCGAGGCTGGCGGTGCCACAACAACCCTCAACCCCCCTCCCCGCAGCGCCGGCGCAGGGAAATGCATGCGGTGCACTTACTGCGAGAAGGAGGAATCCACGCTGAAGTCCTCGGCGTGAGGCCTACAGAGCAAGAGCATCACAGGAGGTGAGGGAAACGTACAGCTGCCGGGCAGAGACCAGAGCAACAGCTGGAGCCATGCCACGGGGAACATCAACGCCGGAGGGACAAACAGCCGCCCAAGCGCTCGGCCGGGGGCTGCGCCGTGCCTGGGACGTGACCCTGCCGAGGTCCCCAGGGTGGGGATGCTGGGGACCCGGTGATGCTCTGGTGGCTTTGCCAGTGTACGGCCCCTTTAAGGACTCAGCTCCACAGATAAAAACATTTTTTATGGTTTTTTGGTTTTTTTAATGAGTCTTGCAAGCTGCATCGCTGCTCTGTGTCCAATCAGTGTCACGCTTTCTGCAGAGAAATTAGGTTTTGAAAGGTGCCGGTTGGGGTGTTTTTAGGAACCTAACGTTGAATTTCTCCTACGCACACCTGCACAGAGCTGGTTTTATACACGCAGGTGATGACCAGAGAAGGGAAAACAAAATAAAATAAAAGAAGAGAAAGCAATGATGAGGGTAACATGGGGGGTCATGGCAGGGGGAGAAAGAAGAACACAGAAATGTCTGGGAGTCGGGGGGAGGCAAAGCGCCGGCTCTGCAAGCAGCACCCCCGGGGCCCGTGCTCGTGTACTGTACATCCCGCAGACAGACAGACGGACAGACGGACAGCAGCACAGCGCTATGAAACAAAGCAACTGCAGCTGCAAAGGAAAAAAATTCCCTTTGCAAAAACGACACTCTTTTCAAGATATATCCATCCCCGCGGGTGGCCACAGGTCCCTGTCACCGCGGGCGGTAGCTGAACCTGCCCCGGCGCGTGCCGCAGCCCTTCCCTGCCGCCCCGGCTTCAGCAGTGCCCCCTTTCCTTTCCTTATTTAACGTGAGTCTGGGCAATTGAGAAATCTATCCAAAGCAAAGGGGGCAGTTGCGGCTCATAAAGGTTTTTCTCTTATTTTGCTTTGTGTTTTATGAGTCCACAGCACTCCAATATAGTTCAAACTAAATAAAAGCAATAAATTCACATTTCAATTACAAAGCGAGTCCGAAGGAAAGCTAATTCATCCCTCAGTTACAAGGCGCACAGAGCAGCCTCCCTGCGACATGATTTAGTTTGCTACTACTCCTCTTTTATTATCTGTGTGAAGGCTGCAGGGAGGAGCTCGTCGCCCCGGAGCTGAAACGCCTGCAGAGAGCACAGACTGTGCCGACCGGAGCTGCCGTCCCGGGTGACACCGACAGCAACGTCCCCCCATGTCAGACCCAGCAGACCCATGGGAGATGCTCAGTTTGGGAGCGACGCTGGGGCTGGGGGAGGGATGCGGCGCAGGGGCTGAGGAGGTGCTCTGTCTAGGTGAGAGGCTCCCACGCAGCCCATGAGCGGGCGGCTGCGCGACGAGCCTGGTCACCAGCCCTCCACGGGGAGCTACGGGGGGGACGATGGGGCAGGAGGGGCTGGGGCTGCTGGGGGGGGGGGGCAGGGGGGCTGCCCTCTCCCTGCCTGTACTGCCTCTGCTTTGGGGGCCATGCTGCTGTCTCCCTCCCTCCCGG